TGTATATTTTTGGTCTATAAGCAACCTATTTTTTTTTCTTATAATTTAAAAATAAATACTGCAAAAAAGTAATCCTTATTTTTAATTATTATTATACCAAATTTTATTTCTATATTTTAACAATTTAAAAAGTAGATCAGAGCTAAAAAAATGCAAAAATGCAGGCAAATTTGCCTGTATTGGCCTACAATCTAAGGGATACAAGTTATGTAATTATAATTAAAATACAATAAAGACAGTAATCATTAATAATAAACAGTCTTAATAAAAGTAAACAAAATTCTGAAAATATAATTAAACAAAATTTTGAAATCATAACTGAATAAAAACATATATGATTATATTAAGTTTTAAAAAAATATATATATATTTTTAAGAAAAACATATATAATTAATGTTTTTAATACTATATAATTATATTGTATACAATCATTAATATTAAAAAAAAAAAAAAAATTATATTGTATACAACATATACTTAATGAATTGAAGACTTTTCACAATTCTCAAAAGTTTCTTGATAATCTGAAAGAAAAGTTAATTCTACTATAAAAACTAGTTGCAGACATATTAAAGCATGAAAGAAAGCAAACATTGTAATGTAAATGGAAAGATAGTATAGATTTTACATACCAATTTCATATAAACAAACAGTCAAATTCATATAAACTGACAAATTGACAGTCAAGTTTGTACAAATTGATAGTCAAATTTATACATAACACTTTTAATTAAATCACAATATCTTATGACCTAGTAACTTAAATTATATAAATTTGGTACTATTTGATTTGTCAAAATTAGATGAATCAAATGGTACCAAATTTATATAATTTAAGTTACTAGGTCAAAAGATATTATGATTTAATTAAAAGTGTTATATATGAATTTGATTGTCAATTTGTACAAATTTGACTGTTTGTTTGTACGAATTTGACTGTTTGTACTGTGAGCCCTGAAATCGGTCACAGTCTTACATGACTGATCATCGAAATTAGGTCCTGACATCTACCCGAGTAACTGGTTACATAAAAAGTAAGAGAAATCTTACTTTTCTTACTTTTATTACTTTGGTTACTTCAGGTAGAACGACGGTATAGGGGGCATTAGGTTTTTGGTTATTATGGTTAGAAAAGGGGCTTTAGGGATGAAGTATTGTAAATAGATAATGTAGAGGAAATAATCCTCAAATGTAAATAAAAGTTTTATTATAAATAAAGGGCCTTTCGCCTAGGAGAAAAGTAAGAATTAACAGCAATACCTCCAAGTATATACATTTGCTTAAATAAACTTAAAGTATTGAACCCCTAATTAAAAGTGAAAGTATATCCCATACCAACTACTAGACTATCGTTAAAATCTATCGTAATCACTATTGTTTGCCCCTTTGAATCTATTAGAGCCGCAATTTCGTTCATTTGCCATAAGTCACGTGACCAAGCCATTAACACAAGAGAAGGACTCCAACCCGATTCGTCGTATCGTAACCCAGGTTAAGAAAGTAGAAGGAAGACAAGAGAAAGCAAAGGTTAATAGAAGTATAGGTTGAAAGAAAAGACACAAAGAGAAGAGACGAGTACTTACCTACGGATAAACTATCCTACCAAATCTAACATGCCTATTTCGACTTAGCCACTGTAGGTTATGCAAGAATTGGATTAGAGTAGCAACCGAATCGCCGATTCCCGAATTACAGTATGAAGTTGGTATGCAAAACTTATAATAGAAATACACAATATTATGGTTGATTATTATGCATTGCAGCATTTATAAATAATAAATGTAATTAATAATTTTAAATAATTAAATTTGTGCATTTTTTTTAAATTCGATTTTTGTAAAATTTTTTTTAATATTAATCTCTCGTTGGCTGAAAGGTCATGTGACTGTGCCGTCGATTATTGGTAGTCGGCTAAAGCAAGTTAATTCAATATATGATCGTCATACTGCATAAATTACATTCTTGATATTTTATATAGCCTATTAACCCTAATTGCATCAAAAAGGTAACTCTAAAACTCTCTCCGCTTTAACTGACCCCGATTATTGGTAACACTACAGTGCAAATCATCTAATCGCATCAAAAACATATTGAATGTTGCACCACTAAGCAAGTCATTAATTAAGGAAATAATATTGATAATTATAGTAATGACACAATAATCAATGCATATATGTTCCAGAACAAATGATACTGCATACATAGTAGTTTCTAGAATATATACTGTACAAAAATAATCCAAGTTTGATTTTATCTTATTGTTATGTAGCATGTATGTAACAAATGTTCATGAATCACTTATTTTATATACATACTTAGGATAATAAATCCTCTTTATACTATATTCACATAATAAATTTTGATACATCATTTAACAGAATTGCTGAAATTTAGTACTAAACTTTTCGAAAGAAAATGGATATTTTAATATGTATTCATACATATAATTTGGACATTTTAAAAAAATTTACAGTACGTATAGAGTGATTGCAAATATGTAGAAATTTTAATATTGTTTATTTATTTTTATTTATTTTTTTTATAAATTATTTTTACTAAATTTTAAGTTAATCTTAAATCAACTTATTAAGTGGATTGAATTTCTCATTTTCTATCAGTTTAGAATCTTGTTGCAAACAATTTAATTTGGAATCTACAAAAATTCGATTTCGACATACAATCTATATACTATTCAACTTTACTAATTTTTGACACCACCTAGTCCATCGAATCTGATTTATTAGTTCTAGTTTAACCCTTCATACAATCGTCAATATCCTTAATTCTGCTTGTCAATTCTTGAATCGTCATCATGATCACATGTCTAATACAGTTCATGCTTCGTTTGCATTATCTTCATTAAAATATGTACATTCCTATAACTGGAATCCCTATAATAATCAATAATTACGTACATATTCATTTATTATTTCACTTCATTTGAATTCTGCCAAGAGAAAATAAGACTTTGGACTTTCAATTTTATCAATTGTTATTTATCGATTTAGCTCTGAAATCTCATTTTCCCTTGGCAGCACTCACTTATACACACCTAAATTAACATTAGATTTTAAATATTTATTAATAATTTAATTTTATTTACACTCGTCTAAATTGATGCAAAAAAAGAAATTAAATAACAAATCTTTGTGAATTTGAATTACTCATTCTAAGTACTTGAATTAATAAATGTTCCTAAATTAATCCAAATAAAAAAAAAAAACTAGATTGTAACAGTAAACACAGAAATATTCATAAATATGAATACTACTTTAAATACTTAGATTAATAAAAATTTTTATACATACCTAAACTAAGTTAACGCAAATAAAAAAAAGAAAAAAAAATTAAATAGTAAATATTCATGATCATTGAATAATTTATTTTAAACTTAAATTAATAGACATTCTTTACACCTACCTAAATTGATGTCTCCAAGGTCTGAGTTAGTGAGGTGTTCTTGCAAAGTGCATTTGCTAATGTTTTTTCATTGTCTGATTTGAGTTCATTTTCTTCAAAATTGTAATAAGTCAGTGAGGTATTCTTGCGAAGTGCATTGTAAAAGGGTAAGATCGACTATTCTGAAAAATGCTAAGACGAGAGTGATACAGATTCTTGAAGTCTGTGGAATTCCTAGTATTTGATGTTATCTAAAGAATGATGTTTCCTTAATAAAAATAAAGGTACTTTTCATGTTTATTTGTCCCTATTATTATTGTAAAAAGTTGTTACTGATTGTAAGAAAGAGAAAGAAAAGAATCCAATTCGTATTATCTGCCTTTATATACTATATACTTACATTGATCTGTCATTATTATAACAATTGCAATTACCTATGACCCATGTGACATTGTGAACAAAGTTTACAATTTAGTAACTTGAAACCCTGTCACACTAGACTTGAGAAGAGTTATACTTACGTAGCACATATCAAATTGAAGCATTCAACATAACAAAAATAAGCCAGATTCCAATTAGTTACGTATTTATTTCTGTTTCCAATTGCGACGTGACAAGACCTGAAAGCTTTGAAACTCGAACCAATTCTCTAAATTTCATTGCTTCAATGGAGCCAATAGATACTAACTTTTGGGCTCTATTCACAAAGCTCAAAAAACTACATATGTACATAGTGCATATCCATTAACTCCATTCATAGCCCATTGGCTCTATTTGCGGGCTCTATTGAAGCAAGTGCTGAACTATGACAAGGTAATAACAGGTCATATCACTAAGTTTAATTAGTAAATACATATGATATTGTCATATGTATAATTTTATGTACTACTCAAAATAATGCATAGGTGGGCATTATTACACAAACATACCGTACGTAGCATGCACGTATGTATTTCTGAAACTGGCTTTGAGTAAGTTTTGTTTGAATATGTAACTGATATGTATGTACTTATGCATGTATAATTGAAATTGATTGCTTTCCTAGACAATATAGTGATACTATGTATCAGTTATAAATATGTACGTAAGAAGACTTGATTAGATTATATTTCATTTAACTTTTTCAATATGTTTACATACATACCTTAACGAAACTTGTAATTTAAGTAAATAAAAATGCCAAAACAAAATAAACACGCAAGACAATGTCAAAAAGCCATTACCACATATTGAAAGAATAAATCGCCTTTGCAACATATTAAATCGACCAATGCTACCTCTTGCAAAAATGATGAACCTCCAGCACTTGAACCCGTCAATCAAAATCAATTGACAGTACCAAAACCCGTTTGTTCATCTACTAAGACCTTCTACAGTAGCCTAATGATAATAATTCTGCATTATCATCATTAAACAGACTATTAAAATCTGAAACGGTTAATTTACGACTTAATACAATGAGACAATATCTCCATCTTGTTCAAAATCAACATTTCATGAAAATGGATGCCAGTAAGCTTCTGGCTGAGAGTCTTGGTAAAGGCCCATGGTATGCAAGGCTTATTCGTACCTGGGCAAATCAATGGAAAAACCAAGGAAAATTAATAAAATCAAAGCATGGTCAGCATATAAAGATAAAATCTTTAATACACAATAAAAACGTTCAACTTCAAATAAATCAGTATTTGGAGACAAATAAGTTTAAATTAACCATTTCAAATTTTATAAACTATGTTAGCAGTATTATGCTTACTTTTGGAATTACATATAAGACAACTATTAGTAGGTCAACTGCATGCAAGTGGTTAAAATTATTGGGATGGAAATACCAAATCCATACAAAAAAAATGTTTTTTGACAGCCATGAACGTGAAGATGTGGTAGAATATAGGAACCACTTTTTGCAAAAAATGGCTAGTTTACAAAGTCAAATGGCCACATATGAGGGTGAAAATTTAGAACAAGTTATCTTGCCAGAACTTTCTTCCGATATGCCAGAAATAGTTCCTGTTACCCAAGATGAGACCATGTTTTATGCAAAAAATGGCATGAAAATGTATTGGAGCCCAAAGGGTGAATATACTATAAGGTCAAAATTACAGATAAGGACTCGACTAATCACAAAAAGTGGGGATCATCAGTACTATTCCTGATGTGATAAAAAACCTCCGATTTATGTACTATTCCTGATAGAGTTCTTAAAGGAATCTCGAAGTTGATTTCTCATAGTAATGCTTGGTTATAATGAAGTCATGACTATAATTATTCGATAATGTTTATTTCAACTTACCTAAAATATAATCCTTAAAATACTATAGCATTGTATCTATGAGTAAGTAATGCCCATGAGCATTATTCAAGACATGTAATTAAGAGAGCTAAAATAAGAATATATTTGTACTGTATTCAATTAATTATTAGCTCTCTTTGAATTTTATGTCTGAAAATAATGCCCATAGGCATTGTTTTGCGCAAAATATAGTGAAAATTTTTGAATTGCATAAGTTTTACTAAATGAACATACTAATTTCATACAAACTATTTCCAAATCTTATTTTTTTTGAATTAACATGCCATGAACAATGTCATAGGGCAGTCATTTGTTATAAGATCAATATCTGATCACAGAGAAATGAAGTGACATATGACACTTGAGTAAGTATGAGGTCATGAGTATAAGGCATATAAAGGAAATGATTTTGGCTCAACATAAGTCTAGCTCTTCGTTAATTCCTTCTACCCAGCTAGTGAATAGATTTTGACAGATAGAATTGTATAGCTTGGCTAGACAAGCCGGATACTGATTGGCAAGATAGCCTGACCAAACAGGCCAGATATCTTGAAAGAGAAAAAAAAAGGAAAAGGATAATAAGATACAAATGATTCTAGAAATAACTGGCAACTACATAAGACAGTGAGAAGATATTCTATTCGTGTGTTTTGTAGTATTGTTTATTAGTGCTGTGATTAAGTGACAAATTATGTTACGTGTTGATCTTATAGTCAGGCTGGGCAATATGTAATAGTGTTCATTCAGGCTGACAATAATAGTGGTCAGCCAAATTTTTTGATATTTGTAATATTAATACGTATCCTGATCCATTGGGAATTAGCAGAAATGAAGTTTCCGCTTATTCACATATGGATTAGGTATTATTTGTTAATTTCTTGTGATATTGATATAGTGATCAGGGATTATGATAGTAGCCAGTTTTTATAAACCTATCAGGAACAGTACGTAAATAGATTTTTTTTTTATCCTATCAGGAACAGTACCAATGATCCATCGGAAACAGTATTTTTGCCAACTAATCAGTCAACTAAACTTTTAATTATTGACTAACCAATCGACTAATTTTGATTCCTATCCTTATTCACAGGGTCCTAGTATTCATGTTAGTGATTTTACCTGTGAATCTATCGGGTGTCTCAAACTATCAGAATATGAATGTACTATAAATAACTTACTTTCTGATTATATGTGTCTTAAGTATACCAAAGCATGCATTACTATCCACCCAGATGTAAATCGTGATGGTTGGTGGACAACTGATAATTTAGTTGAACAAGTAGTTGACCATGCTATACCAATATTTGAATGAACACATCCTGACAAGATAGCTCTATTCATGTTTGATCATAGCAGCAATTATAGTTCATTTGCTGAAGATGCCCTTTTAGTTACACAAATGGGCATGAGAAATGGTACAAAAAAACCACTTCTTCGTAATTGTGTAAAACCTGATGTTACTGAGCATATAATGACCTATGTAGATAATAATGGTGTAGTAAGACCTAAGGGAATTAAACTGGTTCTTGAAGAACGAAATTTGTGAATACCAGGCCTTATAAGAAAGTGCAATATATGTAAAAAAAATAAGCCTGATCCAAACAACCTAGACTGTTGCACTTCACGTATTCTTTCAGCCCAACCTGATTTTGCAGCTCAAAAATCACACCTACAAGAGGTGAATAAGTTTTTTTTTTTTTTTTAAAAAAAAAAAAAATTACTTATTTATAAGTAATTTAGGTAATTGAAGCAGCTAGTCATATGTGCATTTTTTACCCTAAGTACTATTGTGAACTTAATTATATTGAATCTTTTTGGGCTGAGGCAAAACGTTATGCAAGGCTTAATTGTGATTACACTTTTAAGGATCTCAAAAAAACTGTTCCAAAAGCATTAAACTCTATTGATTTAACAAAGATTCGACATTTCACTTGCCATTCTGCACGCTTTATGAGTGCTTATGAACTTGGACTTTCCAGAAAAGCTGCCATCTTTGCAGTAAGAAAATATCATTCTCATCATCGAGTTCTGAAAAAAGTTCTTGAAGAATTTGATGAATGCACTCATGACTAAAATATTTTGTTTTTCTTTCTTCTTACTCTGAAAAAATATATATTTAAAATTAATATGTATTCATATCATATATTTATGTATAATTAAAATTAAAAATAAACAAAATATCACAGAAGATCGTGAAATCTAAAAATCTTTCACCTTATTTCACATACTATTTGATTACCTTTTTCATCTATAGTTGTGCCAATGCCATATTTATATCTGCATCTAAGATCGTTTTGTTTATTTGAATTGCACCTTTAGTGAATTTCAATTACCACTCAAGTGATTCCTGGCCGAGCCTATGTTGTTCTGATGATCAATTATCTATTCAAATTTTTACCTTTAGCAGATTTTGCATGCAACTCAATTGCCATTTTTTCATCCTTAGTTGTTGCTGATGCCATATTTATATCAGTATCCAAGACCACTTTGTTTATTCAAATAATCACCTTTAGTGAATTTCAATTACTACTCAAGTGTCTTTATTCATCCTTGCTGTATGTTATTTGTATGATCAACTATCCATTCGAATTTCAACCTTAGCAGATTTCATATACTACTCAATTGCCTTTTACTTCACCCTTGGTTTTGCTGATGCCATATATTCAAGACTGCTTTGTTTATTCAAACTGCTACCTTTAGCGATTTCAATTACCACTCAAATATCTTTTTCTGATCCTTGGCTGTACCTATGATATTCAGGTGATCAGCTTTCTGTCTGAATTTTTACCCTTAACAGATTTTACATTACTCAATTGCCTTTTTTTCATTCTTGGTTATGCCATACTTATATCGGAATTAAAGATAATTTTATCATTCGAATTGTTACCTTTAGCAAATTTAATACCTTTCCTCATTTTTGACAGTGTCTAGACCAGTGTTTTGGGCGAAACCCAATTTTGCAAATTATTTGCAGATTAAATTGGGCAAAACTAGTTTCAGAAAGTTTCAGACTTATAGGGCGAAACTAAAGTTCCTCTGGGTGAAATGTTTCGGATTTGGAAAATAGTTTTGCCAGAAACACTAGTCTAGACCATTTGGATAGCAAATAAAAATTCAATTATCTATTCTAATTGCCACTCTTATCTAATTTTACATACCGCTTCATTTACTTTTTTATTTTTGGTTGTGCCTATACCACATTTAAATCAGAATTCAAGATTGTTTGTTCATTTAAATGCCATCTTTAGCAAATATTAATATCACTAATATACCTTTTTAATTTATTATGTATCTATATACATATAATTTTTATTAGTTTTAAGATGGACTTAAATCATTCGAGATATTTTTTTGTGTTGATTATTATCTTACCTTTCCTGTGCCACGCAATAACTTTTCAGTAGGACTGTGAAAAGGCTTTATAAGAACTATCAATTTTAAAATAGAATTGTTAATAATATTAAAATAATAAAATCACAGTGTAAGAGTTAAGACTAAAACAGATCAAGAAATGCTTTGTTCTGAATATTTGGGCAGCCATCATTAGAAATTAAGCAGATTGCGATTTAAGAAATATCAATACTTTAACTTTAACAACTCATATCTTAATGAATTTCGAAACTAACTTGATTATTTAATAGTCAAAAGAAAGCTTAACAGCCAAGTTTTCTTTTGAATATGTATTATGTATATCATTAAGACAGCCTCAAAATTCATCGATATATGGGCTGTTAAAGTTATTGATTTTTTCAATGTACGTATGTACATATTGGTGGCAGTCTATTTATTGATTTGATCATTAACATCTTTGTGTAACTTGCAACAGGTCACACACAAAATTTTCTTAATTAATTATTTTTCTCGGCTTTTTCATTTCCCTGACACTTTCTTGACATTTTCTTGAACCTTTTTGATTAACAAATTTTCTTTATACATATTTGCACACTAAATTAACAAGAAAAATGAATTAATTAGAGAACAATAATGGCATATACATACATATTTATACCTATTTTCTAAATTAACACAAATAGAATGAAATTAAATCATGCATATTCATGTTAATTATGGATGAGTACATATATGTAGTATAAAGAACTTTTATTAAAATAGGCATTTCAAATAAAAATTTCAAGTTCATAAACATTTATTGTTTAATAATTTGGGCTGTTTTGTAATTCAACAAAGATAAATTTAGTACATTCCACATCATAACAAACATCATCATTATCCTTTCCCCCCTCTACTATTATTCATCTCACACGCAATGATCTCTTTGCCATTATAATTAGACTCATAATCATTATTAAAATCATTATTAGCAGCTATTTTACAATAACTGGATGCCTTATGCTCATCTATTTAATTCTCATGACAAAATCCAAGATTATACTATCCTTTCTAATTGTCATCTTCAACAGATTTCGAATACGTACCATTTGAATGATTTACATTCATCTTCACCAGACTTTTGATGAGATCGAATGCATCATTCTCATCAGTTTTTAATTTCTATTCCATTTTGATGATATTCGTCAGCATTATACGTTTATTCAGTAATTCAGCTTTGGTCTTGTCAACATTCTTGTAACTATAATCTTTCGGATCTTCACCATTTGATTATCAGGTACATATTCTTTTCCAGCTCCTTTTTCATTAATGTCCTTTTTCTTCAATACACACCTTTTCCTAACTTGAAAAGATTGCATGCATGTATCATTTGGTCTGATATGCGTAGGGATGGGTTCGGTTATGAACAAACATAATCATTTATAGTCAATTTGCTCATCCCTAGATATACATACCAGAATTAAATTTTATTTGAAAAATGCAGTTTATATTAGTTGTGATTTATGCATCAAAAACTGAAACAGAATATGCTCCTGGAAATAACGATGAATATGCTTCGCCTAAGTCAGCCACAATAGGACTACCATATGCAGCAAGTCATTTTAATCATATTTACCTATCAACTTGAATTATACTGGATTGGTTATACTACTTAATGGGAATATTACCCTGCTTAGTGCCTTTTCGATCCATTAACTTTTTTCTAAAAATTTTCTTTACAAATATGTCAAATACAGAAAGAGCAGTTGTTCGTGTTCTCATAAAACATAATACCACTATGAGAGAAAAAATCTTAGAGTGGGATATTATCGAAGTGTTGAAAAGCATGGGCTTTAGAAAAGGCTGTGCTTTCATGGGGATGGATATGGAATTAGTACATACAGTGTGAGTTTTCTCATTGATTATTTGCCAAATCATAGTGTATCTGAAGTTATGCTGCCACATCTGTATAATGAAATCTGATAGAGAGTTGAAAGCTCATTATGGCTGACTATTTTGATGGTTGAATGTTTTTTTCTATCAGTTATGAATGTTCCTGTAGTTTAATTGGCCCTCTCTGCATTAGAGAGGCACTTTCTGTATTAGGAAGTGTCCCTGCTGGGAAGTTGGTGAATAAGATACACTCTAACATTGAAGCGTGACTGTTGAGGATTCCAGTCATGCGTCTTTTCTTTGTTGGTTAATGATAATGACACAAATACTCAATTTTTTTTTTTTTTTATAGTGGACCTGGTGATAAGGGTAAAGATATTATATGCCAAATCACTGGGATCACCATTGTGATTCAATGCAAGAATTATACACGTTGAGGCTCGATAGGTAATTTAATTCTTGTTTTTATGTTATTATAAAAATTAGATAAATATATATTAATAATCTAAAATTTTTTTTAATAAATTTAAATTTTTAGGCAACATTATCATTTTCTCACATGAGACTGTCATGCGAAGATATGCTCATGAAAATAGATGTGTTGCCCATGGCACTGTAGTTGTTTCTTTTGCGAGTGCATTCTTATGTGCTGCAAAGCATGCAGCCAAAAAGGCTGGGAATTTGATCTTCTTGTCGAATAAAAACAATTTTTATTCTTGCATTAACGCAATCGTTAATGGTCAAAGACGTCAAAGGTAGTTCTTATTTTACAAATTTCTTCTAATGGCAGGAGGATCATATTCTAAGTTTTAATACATACACCTCTCTTTACACCCTCCCAAATTTTTTCTTAATTTCAAATCCACCAAAGTGTGGTACATGGGTCACTTGGGCATTGACCTCCACGTGGTGTGGCCTGGATAACCAACTAACAAATGCTCACTTTTATATATGTATATATTTTATTTTTTGAATAATCTAATTTATCAATAAATGTGTAATTTCTTTAATATATTGCTCTGTACTTTACTCTGTACTTTATTTTTATTCGAAATACTGTATTAATAAAGCTGGTCCTATTGACTCTATTTCGCATTATTTAATTTTACTTTATTCGCATTAATTTAGAGGATAAGTATAAAAAAAAATATTAATTAGCCTAAGTATTTAAAATCGTTGTGTTGAATTAGGTGAGCATAAAGAGTATTGTTAATCTAAATATTTAAAAAAGCGATTCAAGTTCATGAATATTTACTATTTGATTCCATTTTATTCACACTAATTTAATGCATGAGTACGTACATATAAAAAAATATTAATTAAACTAAGTAATTAAAGTAACCATTTAATTCTATAAAAAAAGCGGTTCAAGTTCATGAATATTTACTCTTTGTTTACTTGAGCTAAATTAGTTTAATCTAAGTATTCAAATAATCGATTCAATTTCATGAACTATAAGTGTCAGAGCGTCTATTAATCTACTGTAAGTATTTAAAATAATCGTTTTAAGTTCATTAATATTTACGGCTGACTTTTACGATCGAATGCCTTATGCCTATCTTCACCACCGCCAATTCCACTTCGATAATTATTATCTATTTCATGACCAGCACAATATGTTTCGACAAGATTTCCTGTTTCATTCGATTTTTGAGAACTTTCAAATGCATTATGTTCATACACAACTTTCCAATCCCATGATAAAGACAATACGTAACCAATATCAAACGTTTCATCGGTATGACCTTTATCAGCAAACATTGTACGTAACTGGTTGTTTTATGAACATATGTTTCAGCTCCAGCTTCACCCGAATACACCCACAATATTCTGGTACGTATTATGTTTTGTAATGTGTGGAAGGGTCCTAACAATCTTGCGATGAAAGAAATAGCTTAAAAGATCGAATCAAATTTTGTATTAATCTGATATATAAAAGCTCAGGACAAGTGAAAACCATCTACGTACTAGCAATAAATTAAGAATACGTAGTATAAAATTTTACATATGTATGTGTACTCACTCTCGATTATGAAATAAAATACGTGTAGTAAATGTAGAATAAATGCCTACTGCGTAAACAGAAATTCTAGAAAGCAAATTTCATTTGTTCTAGAATATGTAACTGTAACATTTTTTTTTTTGTACATAATTACGCATCGATGAACAATTTGTGTAATCTATCCTTATATGGTGATGATATGATTGCTTTCGCCATGTAAAGCCATATTAAAATTACGTTAAGTTTTTTTAAATTGTATCTCCTCGATGGATAAGTCTAAATTTGCAAAAAAAAAAAGTACCTTTGTAGAACTTATCTAGAACTACAATATAACGAATTTTTTTTTGCAAAATTTTAAATATTAGTTGAGGAGTTATGATTTTGGATGTCTTTAAATGATTTGCACCGTAGCGCTTTTCCTATTATCATACTAACATAAGTTTTCACTCTAACCTTAATGAAACTCTGTATTTAATTTTTGACCTAACGCAAATTTTTAATTCTAAAATAACGATCCTATAAATTTATATCTTACCGTATATTACCGAAAATAAGCACCCCCTTTTTATTATAAGGGGTGCTTATTTTCGGAAACAAATTATTTATTTTCCATTTTTTGGTCCAAACCAAAAAATTTTTTTTGTGATTTTTTTTCAAGTTGACAGTAAGTCAACAGACCGAAATGGAAGCCTAAGCAGTGGTGCATTGACATCAATCACATGGGCAATCCCGATGGTAATAAGAAAAGGCCAGTACATGCAACTCCTTGATTATAACACTGCAAAGTAATTTAATGAGTTTCTGGTTTAGGTGACATAGCCACTAACATAACTGTAATTATGCATAATCTGGATTAAAAAATATATTTAATCATGATGTTTAATTAATTATATTTCTACGTAAACAAAAAATACCGCAAGTTGTTAAACGAAAAAAAGTTGTTAAATTATATTAAATAAATAAAATTTCATATTATTACCGTTATTATATTAAATATAAAATGCTTAATTATAAAAAATTATTTATTTTGAAAGGGGGTGCTTATTTTCGGATATAATACAAATTAAGGGGGTGCTTATTTTCGGTAATATACGGTATTTCATAATAAAAATCCTAATAATAATAAAATACAGGTTTCCCATTTATCGTCAAGTCCAGGTATTTATTTGATGTCAACCATCGGCAAAGTGTTACGTTACATTTGCCACGTTAATAATAGGAATATAAGCAGCTGATTGTGACTGGCGTTAAAGTGTATGTATATTGTGGATCACACTATATATATAATACAAAAAAAGCATGAATTTCATTTTCGGAGTTTTCTCACATATAATTCGTTATGACAGAAGAGACAGAAGAATCTGTAATAACTGAAGAATTTGTAATATTTACAGGCTTTGAGGTAAGTAATATCTTTCATGTAAATAAAATAATAAAAATAAAATATATATTATAAAAATCTATGTATATATATATAGCCATTCGGGGAACCACGACCACCAACTAACCCAAGTTGGCAAGCAGTTAAACAACTTACCGGCAAAGAGGTCGAAGTAAAAGACCACAATAATAATATAAAAAAAGTTAGATTCGATACGAAAGAAATTCCAGTTGAATATGGGCCATTATTAGAAATAATTCCCGAACTTCATAAAGAAATAATTCCCAAACTTCAGCTTGATACCATTGATACCAACAAAGAAAATGATACTGACAAAAAAATATATAAATATTATATTCATGTCGGTCATGGACATGATAACATTATTCATATCGAAAAGTTGGCACACAAAGATGGTTATTGTTTGAAGGATAATGACGAAAAAATGCCTGAGGAGGGTGTTTGCCCAAATTATGATCAAAAAGAAATAGAAACTGATGTCGATGTGGATCGTTTGGTAGATCATCTCTGTCTTAAAAAAGAATGGAAAAAGATTGAACGAAGTGATAATGCTGGAAGATACCTTTGTGAATATACATTTTACGTTTCATTATGCGAAAATGCTAAAAAATCAATCCCTGGAACCGTATTGTTTGTTCATGTCCCAAGGGAAGGTTGCCCTTATTCGATAGATGAGTTGGCTCAAATTTTGAAAGATATTGGCATATGGGTTACCGAAAATTATTAACTTTTTGTATCAACTTCTTACAATTGGTTATTATTCATGATTCTCATGTTTCAAGATGGATTATTATTATGCTTTATGCCTGTGGCTATTAATAACCATAATAATTTTTTATACAATTTAGAAAATAGTAGTAGGCGTATTGCTAACGTATATTTTATGCAAAACTATAGTAAATTGCAAATAGTATTAAAATTGCAAGTTTCAGTAAAGTAGTTTACTAATCTCAATACTGAAAATCACTTGACGGAATTGTGAAATAGTAAAAATGTCAATTACTTTCCTGCATCGAACCAAATGGATTATTTATTCAAGTGACTCGATATAAGGAATTTACCTATTCCAGTTAAAAATTTCATATATCAAGATTTTTTACATTGAAAACTTTTTGCCACAAAATTTACAATTGAATCGAAAGTTTCTTAAAACTAAGATTTCACATCGGGTGTTACTCTATAACTTTACTATCTATATAATCATTTGAATAAAATCAAATACAGAATGATAATAAGTTACAGATTGCATGATCCTTCAAACTCAGCACAATATACTGTTGCAAATCTACCTTGCCCTATCTTTTGAATATTTTCGAATTCTTTATAAGTAATCCATAATAATGGATATTTTTCTTAACTAATAGTTGTTTTATATCATCATTAGTGTTAAAATTTTCATGTATCCTTTCATTTATGACTAAAAAACATTAATAAGGTCGCTGCGCAACGCAGTTGCTGCACAACTTCTAAGTACAAGTACTATGTAAAACCTCTCTAAATGCACAATATAGTTTGACCCTTACTTATAAAAACCTTATATATTTTATTATTTATAAGTGCAAAACCTCTCTAAATGCAAAATTTTAATTTTTTCACTATGATCTCAACAGGATACACTTAGGAAGATGCAACTGTATATCCAAATTTGCATAACCTCGAGGCATTTGAAGGACTTTTCATACTAATTATTTTTTTATAAACTTTTTTATAAACTTTATTAAAAGTTTGGTTCCCTTTTAAAAGTCTTATTAGAAGTCGATAAGGTTATTTAAACTTTTAATTTGTATACTTTTGTTAGATAAAAAAAAATTAATTTATAAAATTGCAAAAAAAAATAAATAACTAAATACGATCAAATCGTTTTTTTATATATTCAACTTTAACTTCGTAACAAATAAGCCTTTCAAATCACTAAATACAATAATTTTTTCATCATGATTTGGATCAGTTCTAAGAGGCATAGTCGGACAGTGGTTGAAATCAGTGACTAACCTGTCACGGATCACGGACGTGACGACATAAGTTAAGGTTTTATGACATTATTGCTCATATTGATCATATTGATAAATCCAGAAATCAGTAAAAGTTCACCTTCCAAATAAAAGTAAACTTATTTCTGATTATGAAATTTAATTGTGAATGATTATTTGCTTAGTAAGTACAGAAGTACAATTAAGATCACTCTTATCATCACGTATAATCTGTTTATACATTAATTAAAAAACTCAGGTTAAGTTCTGGACATTAATTATATTTAACTTTATTTCTACTTTATTTTCTTTGCATTCGGATTATTTCGTATTCTGTTACTGAAAAATTTCCGTATGCATTTGCATTTCTAATTGCTTTTTCATAATAACCATTAAATTCATAATAACATCCATTATCTTGATTAAAATTATCGTACATCCGAAGATCACCAAAACATGGACCATGAATAGAATCACAATAAATTGCATATTGTGGGTTTTTTACACGAATTAAAATAGAGGAACTCATAGTACCATTTTTCAATGAAAAAATAAAGCTATCATTGCAATTTACCCAATCTTCAATTGATTGATCCCATGTTAGCGGATTATAACCACCAATAATTTCATCGGAGTTTTTAACTTTCATTAGCACAATAGTATTTGCTTGCTTATCACATTTTTCCCAAAATGAATCTTTAGTAAAACCATCTCTGGTTCCACGAAGAAGTAATTTAAACTCATACGGGTTATTTGTTATTGAATATGGTGTATTCCTCTTATCAATCCATGTCGCAATTTCTGCTGCGTGTTCTTCAGTAATAATTGTTGAAAATGGATCCGTCGTACGTGTTGGTAATTCGGATGTTAAAATTATTCGAGGTGGAAGAACTATTGATGATATTTGTCGATTTGGATTTACAGCTCTTTTTATAATGTCATTCCAAAGGTTTTTATCTAAAATTTGATGATATGGTTGAACATTATCAACAAAATCGTCACCAGATATTTGGAAATAACGGATGTGAGGTAAACAATTCTTTAATATATTTTTTAAAGCTAGAAACTTTTCATTAGTCCACTTTTCTGGTTCTTCAGATGATAAATCTGGATTTTGTGCAATGCCCCATTTAATTACATAATTCCAAATTTTTATTTCTTTCATTTGTAAATCATCTCGTTTAATAAGAGTGACTAATGCATTTTCTTGAAGTGTTGTAAAATCTTCTGAGTCAAAAATCTTATTTGGATACTTTACTAAAAAATCATTACACCATTTTTGTAAATTTTGAAACTGATCATCTTGGAAGCATGTTTGATAAATGCGTGTAAAATGTAAACGAAGCCAATTAGCTTTTGTTTCAATTAAATGCTTTTCAAAATTAATAGCTAATTCTTCTAAAAGAAGCTCCGAAGTAATGAGCATAAGTTCAAAAATTAATGATGCTTCTTGATTTTCCAATGAAACCACCCCTCCATAAATATATCTTCATTATATTTGTATACGGAATTTAGATTTTATGATTAGTTTTTTAATGAATATTTTGATATTTGATATTATTAATATATCCAAGTTAGCAACTTACTTAATAATAATTTCAAATTTTTGAATAGAAATATGGTTTAAATTAATTGTTTTGATATTATTTGTATCTTTGGTAACGTTTTCCAATTTATTCCGAAAATATAATGATCTATATCTTAAAACATTCGAATGTGTTCGGAATACTTTGGTGTTTGGCGATTCTCCAACATTAATGATTACATTAAAATCTTCTTTATCATCAAGGAGTTCAAGGTAATCTGTCGAAAGTTTTTCTAAGTGCTTTATTGCCATCTTTATTTTTTAAGTTTCGTAGAATGTAAATCAAATCTTGATTACAGTAATAATATCGGAAAATGGTTACACTACATAGACATTGTTATACAAGCATCCGTATTACCCTAACCCGCATCCGTAGCTCACCCACAAATATTTTCCGGCACGTGATTCTAGCTAATGAGATTGAAGGAGCAGGTGTTACGTGAAAATCACGTCTTTTTAAAAAATCGCTATGAAACTGCCTCATGCGTTCTAATAAAAAAAAATTCCTCGTGAAATTTTAGTATAAGCCACGCCCATCCTCATCCTTAATCCTAACCCTAAAGATGATATTTATTACTTTAAAATCTTTTTACTTAATTCGGAAAATTTTTTGTGGGTAAGCTACTAATGTCCACCAGACACATAGGCAGAAGTTTGTTTGATTGGCTGATGCAAATCAATTGCCCGGGTACAGGACGATGATTTGCTGTGTTTCACAGAACACCGCAGAATTTTTCTTAAACGCAGCTAATCACAGAAATTGTTCTTAATCACAGTAAAATATTACAGAATTTGGATTTATAAGCTATTTTTTACAGAATCATGATTGTTTATATTAATGCCAATAAAATACAGGTTATAAAATAAAATTTTTCCAAGGTACTGGTGTAAACATGCATGTATATATGTACAATTAAATTAAAATTAGAAAAAAAATTTTTTCAAGGTATCAGTATGCACGTACATATGTACAATCAGAAAACAAAAATTTTTTCTAAAGTATTTGGTATAAATGAATAACAATAGTGGTTTATACAAAGCAAGAATTTTTCATAAAATAAAAATAAAAATTTTTTATAATAGTAATATAAAATAAAAAAGTTTCTATTGATACCTTATAAAAGAATATTCCAATGTTTGTAGAAAAAACAGAAGAAATCTATTTTGTAATTATTGTAATTTGTCTATTAAGTAAAAAGTTAAATTTATTGCTAACAAATATTATAAAGTTTTTATAAACTGAACTGAACTAAATATTTTTAAAAAATAAAGTTCAGTTCAATTTAGTTTATTTTAATTTTTGAATTTTTTAAATTAGTTCAAGTTCAGAAAATCAATTTTTATAAGTATTAGATAAGAATGCAAACTATTTTTATTAGTTAAAAAGATGCAAATTAACCACAATTTGATCATAATTTGACTATAATTTGACTAAAAATTAGAGGTCAAATTTTATTTTTTGATCAAATTCATATCAAATCAGTCAAAAAAATCAATTCATATTCAACTTAGAAAATACTAATTAGCCTAAGATTAGTAACTGATTGGTTAATTTTAAAATTCAATCTAAAATCAGACTCTGAATTTAGGTGTATTTTAAAATTCAACTTAAAATTAGACTTTAAATTTAGGTTTAATTTTAAAATTAACCAATTAATTACTGATTTTAGGCTGATTGATATTTTTTAGATCAAATATAGATCAATTTTTTTGATTAATTTGATTAAAAAATAAAATTCAACCTTTGATTTTTAGTTAAACTATGGTCAAATTGTAATTAAATTGTGATTAATTTGCATTTTTTTGACTAGTATTTACTAGCTTATTAGATATAATATAAAATTATATATGATTTCTAGTTTTTAGTTACAGTGTATAGTAGTTTTTTTATATATAATAATCTTTTAAATAATGATTATTAAAATTTTTTACTTAATTCTTTAAAGAAACTAAATATGATATATTATAATAAATAATTTTTAAAGAATTTTAAATAAATAAAGTATACTGTTAAAGACAAAACAGATACCAAAGTTGCTCTAACTTAGTGTTATCCTGACTCATGCCTTCTTACAGTAAGAATGTTTCTGAAACAAGAAAACGATTATACATCAATTGTATTTTGAGAAACTTGGAAACCAAGCCACTTATCTGAAACAATACTGTAACAATGCAGAATTGGGAACTATAGCCATTTGTTGGAGTAGATCTGTCAGATTAGACTAGTCATTTGTGCTATATGAGACTATTCAAGGTCTTAAGCATAATAACCGATCTGAAACTGTTGAGTTTGGTGAGAAAATATTTGATCTTGAGCTCCTGTGCTATCTTTTTTTGTTGGACATCATTCTTGTATATAAGTATCTTTTTTTCTTAGAGTTAGAAAAACAATAATTTTTAGAATAGACATCATTAGTAATAGCCTTATTAGTAATAAAAACTATCTTATTAATAAACTGAGACCTTGCACTCACATCTTAGCTTTGCCAAATCATTCTACCTCTTCTATGGTACAATGTTTCATGACATTTAATATTTTTAAGCAACAATCTATCATATTTTTCTTGATCCTATATTCTGTAAAACCAAAAATCCCTTGTTAACAATACTTAATTAATATTTTTTTAATAAATAATATTATAGAATTAACATTAAACAAATACAAAATTATACAGAAATTAATATTTTTATTACAAAATTATATAAAATATATTAACAAAATAGTATATTATTTTAAAAAATTTATTTAATTACATGTAAAAGTTTGTTTTAATTTTTACAAAAAATTATTGTTTTTGTTTAGATAACATTGATCATTTTTATATATAATTAGTTACAAATATTTATAATTTTTTTTTATATTTAATTTTTTAAAAAAATATATTAAGTAAATAATTTTTAATTTTTATGTAAAAGTTGTAAAATAGGTTTTCTAATTCTAATAATAATAAAATTATTATTATTTTTTTAGTATTAAGATAAAGTCTTGCTTATATATTTATTAGTAATTAAAAGTTAGTAGCAATATAAAGCTACTATATACAAAAAATAAATTTTTAAGCTACTAAACTATTACTTTAAATACAAAAAAAAAACTATATTCAAGAATAAAAGCTTAGACATATTTATCTGTGAACTAATCTTATTAAAATAGTTAAAGCTTATCTAGATTAATAAGTTTAGAATATAATTATAAGAAATATTGCATTTAATTTAAAGAACAATTTAGATGTTGATTTTACAAATAGCATAGTTGATAAATAGATAAGTATTAGAATTGGAGTATAGTTAGTTAGATAGTTCACATAGGCAAGAATAAGTATAACTTTTACAATTAAAGTTTTTTCAGTTGCTTTGACTTGACTGAAATAAGAATCTGAAGTAGAAATTTAAGTTCTTGTTGTTTTCAGTTAGTAAAATTTATACAATATAGTTTACATATTTGTTTATAAAAAAGTTAATTAATTTTAAGCAAGATAGTAATAATTGTTTATAAGATTAGTTTATATGAAATATTAAAGTTTTGTATAGTATTAATTAAAGATTTAGAGATAAGTTCTTTAAGTGTAATATAAAGACAATATAAATTTGTTTAAGAAAGTATATAATAGAAAGCATAATAATTATTAATTTTATAAATAAGTTTTTTTTGCTAGTTTATAGATAAAGCAAGATCTGTATTATTAATATATTTAGATATACTAATTTAAATAATATTGAAAATAAATAATAGATTTAAGCATATATGCCAGTAAGATAAAGAGTTAGCTAGATTGTAGTAAAAGCAATTAGCATTATAAAATATATATAAATAGGTTTTGTAAAAGTAAAAATAAATAGAAAGTTTATTTATTAAAGTTTTAATTTTGAATAATTTAAGGTAGTTGAGTTTAAAATTAGTAATATTATGTATTACTTTTTGGTTATGGTTAAAGTATAACTAAGTTAATTTCTAATCAATTTAAAAAACCAAGAAGTTCTATTTCATATTACATTTCTAAAAGAACCACATTGCTAAAATATAGGTTTTGTAAATACTTTTAATAAAGCTTTTAGTTAGATGCTTAATAAAATGTTAGTTTTAGAAAATTATATAATATAGATTGTAGATACTTGTATAGTTAAAATATAATATAAATAATAAATTATATTATTTTGCTAATAAATTAGTTAAAATATTAAGAATATTATTAGAGTAGGCTAGTACTTTGTAAAAGTTAATCTGGTAGTTATAAGATTTGATAATATTAAGCAAAATATGCTATATAGATTATAAGCTAGATTTAAAAAGCTTGCTAGAATTTAAAAGAGTAGTATATATTTTAGAATTTTGTAATATAACGCTATAGCAGAATACTGCTAGTCCCCTCAAATCACGTGATTAATATTTAATATTCAAAAATTAATCTAATCAACTAAATATTTATTTGTTATGCTACATCTATATACAATAATAGTTAGTACACCTTAAAATTCCTATGAAATTATCTAATATATTTACACAAAGAATGTCCTGGGTCATTACTTGAAACACAGTTTAAAGAGTGCTAAAAATTAAGTTAGTCAATATTTCTCAACATAGTATCCCAGACGTGTTTCAATACGGACATAGTATCCTGGACATGTTTCAATACGGATTTAGTATCCTGGACGTGTTTCAATACGGATTGTGATTTGCTCTACGTACATCACCCAAATTTTACCAGTGAACTATGTACGTACGCACATACATACATGCATACCTGATCTAATTGATATGCATTATACTTATATGTAGTAAGAATACGTAGTTTCACAAAACTGGATGTAATAATGCATTCAAATGCAGAACCAACAGTTAATATCATGTAGTTACTGTCTAAACTATTAAAAATAACCCAAGACACAATTGTTTAGATGAAAACTACATTTGTTTAAGGCTAGATTATAACAGTTATTGAATTTGTTAATTGTGTCTCAAAATAACATAAATAGTCGCATGCATAAATTTCAAATTACATAAACAACAAACACCCTGAAAAGCAACTAATAGATCATACCAGTTTCCTTGTTACCTAACTTAATACTAATTTGTTAGCTGTTATTATTTCTAATTGCAATATTTAAAAGCATAGCAATTAGCATGAATTTTATAATGTAATATAAGAATGCAAATCATATAAGTAATGTATATACCTTACAACTCTTTTGATAATGACCAAGTTCTCTACATTTTTTGCATTGACGTTGGTTCATTTTAATATTTCTTGCTTCATGTGCTAATTTGAGATGTTTACTACCTGTTGGTCAACCTTTACCATGACATACTTTTGAATTTTTAATACAAAAAGCTATAAAATTATTAATTTTGTTATTTTCTTTATCACTATTATCTGCATCAGTAATACTTTCATGATCTTCTAAATTTGATTCATTACTATCATTAACAAATTTCTCAAGCAAACTGATTAATTTTTCAGATTTTGAATATGTTTGTAACACCTTACAAAGAGCTTTTTTGTATGTTTTATGAATTTTTCTGTAAGTAACTTTTTGCTCTAAAACAATTAGATTCTCTTCTATTGAGTCTTTTTCAAGAACAGATAAATATTGAACAGAAAAGAAGCAACTCGTTTGATTCTGTGTTTCTTGATAAAACTTATCTGCAACTAAAAATAATTCTTCTATTCCATTTTCACTTGTACAAAACCATTGTGAAGATAAAAGGTGAATATGAAAATTTGTCTTACTTGTAACTAACATCACTTGAAAATAGTGTCTACACACAATGCTGTGATGAATGATAGACAAACAGGAACATAGATGAGATCTATTTTGTAATAATATAACATAGTGTTTGCTTTTTAATGAGTTGCTAACATTAATAGTCCATAACTCTTCAATATTATCTAGTTCAACGAACTTAATCATTTGTTTAAGCATAGCTTGCAAACTATTAGCACTATATTCCTGAGAACTAAATTGTAGATTATTATTATCTAAACTTTCTATATTCTCACAAGCAACTTTATTAGTGATGTAATATATGAATTGATTTATTTCATCTCATTGTATTTTTAGTATTGTAGGAGTAAGAAACTGCTAGATACACTGATCTACTTTTGAGAACAAAAAATTAACCTTTTCCTGATGTTTTACTATTAGAATTGCCAACTTTCAGAATTTATACTCATTTTCTTTATCTTGAATATTGAGCAACTTGTGAATTTCAGTGGCAAGTTCACATAATGAAGTATTTGAATTATATATTAAATGCTTTAGACATGTGTTCACAGATTCAACATGTGATGTAGCGATCATACCACCTATAAATTTAAAATTAGTAAAACAGTATGCCCAAAAGTTTTTGAACTTATATAAAAATTCCAAATAATGTTGAGCTTTAGTATGATTATTAACAAGCTGTTCAAAACATTGTTGAAATCCTTTCTTACTTAAACAGTTGTGACAAAGGTAAAAGTTGTCAAGAAACTTTTAATAAGTTTTACCTAATAATTTTCTTAAGTTTTTATGCAAATTTTAAGTAATGTGGTATGCACAATAGATTGGATATGTATTTGTAAATACTTGATAAATAGCAGTGTTAATAGCAGGATCAGTGTTAGTAAGTATAACTAAAGATTAAGTATTAGTAGCCTTAACTATTTGTGGGAATATCCAAATGTGAGATTCAAGACTTTATTAGCCAGAAGTGCTTGTACCAACAAGATATTTTAATGGTTATTATCAAATCTGACAAATAATGATAGTGTTATGCCATAGCAGTTTGTCTTATTTATGACATCATTGAAAACATAGTCAGAATATTGGATTCAATTTTCAACTTGCTCCAGTTTTATTCAAAGTAAGTGCGTCAAGGTATTATCTTTGTCCCAGCCTTAGGCAATGACCCAACATGGATCCTTTTTCTTTTGTTGGTCTAACCAATTTGAAATCTGTGCAGCATCATTTGACAAGAACTTAGCAGTAGGCTAAAATCTTTGGATTATACAGTATAGATCTTTTGAGTAAATTAGATGGATTGGATACTTTCCTTCAAGAAATTTCCTTTGCACTATTGCTCTGAATTTACAGTATATAGTCATGAACTTTACATCTTTTAGTATTGAATCAGTAAATTTCTTGGCATCTTTGAACACAATTAACTCATGATTTAATGAATGATTATGTTCATATACTACCTTGTTAATGACTATAATACTTTCAGAATTATTAACTTTTGGACAAGAAGTATTAATCAAAAAAGGACATTGGGTCTTTTTTGTATTAGTATCTTTATTTGAAGTTGAGTTATATGAATGACTATGTTCACATAGAAAAGTCTGGCAGTGAATAATACTCTCTTCACATTAAACCCAGTCTTTTACAATATGAAACTCTTGTTCTTTGGCCCATTCATTAAGAAACTTTTCACATGCTTCTCATATAGAAAATCTCTTTCCCGAATCAAAGACATAGTTACATATTCGCAAGTAGTAATTAACTCGGAATCTAATAAGTATCATAGTTACAGAGTTATACAAAGCAGTTATCACAAACACTAATAAAAATTATATCTGTCTCAACTTCTAATTCCAAACTGCTAACAACATCAAGAAATTCATATCTGTTCTAACTTTTGCTTATTGTTTGACTACTAGACTTACAAGAAAATTCATTTTTTTCTAAGCTTTCACACATTGTACTATATAAGAGATAAGATGAAGAAACAGTAAGTATTATAATAGAACATAATGATAGTATGTACTATTCGAAATGAAAAAGCTCTATTAAAAAATAGTTATTTCACTATAACCTACCCTTACTCTAAAATAAGAAAAGAACTATGTTAATAATTACACTCATCTTACCTATTAAGAAGAGATATACAAACTTTACATGATTTGTTATTATATGCATATTCAAAAACTAGCAATTTTTTGTATATCCATACTACTATACTGTACTATTAACTTAATATAAAAGTAACTTAAAAAAGGTGCACTACAATTGCAAGCACTATTAGTACTGTGTATTGGCTCTTATACATATACACTTCTAAACAATCTGTCTTCGCTATAATCCTTTGTTTATACAGACAAAAAACTTACTAAGTCAATCGTTTAAGTATGCTATTACTGTAACAAAAGACGCAAAAGGGGTAAGAAAAAGTGTATTAAATTTAATAAGAGATTGGTTATATAGAGTTTTGAATTGCTATGGCTTAGATTATTAATTGAATTTAACTAACATGAGTCTAATTGTTTATTTATACAATAACTAAAAGTAAAATTTAAACTTTATCATTGTGCTTCATCATACAATACATCGAATTATATTTCAAAATTAGGTTATCTGATTACGATCCTTTTACCTAGCATACCTTTTATGTGATGCATACAAATTAAAGAGCAATTAATAGAAGTTAGAAACATTTATTAGAGTGTCTATTAATGATAGCATATATAAGAATGTGATACAATGGATTCTTCTAAAAATAGAAATACTAAATCATTAGGGATGTAATATAAATAACATTTGCAGGTTTGTGCTACTAAACAATTATTTATTATAAAATTATGTAATGTACTATCAAAATTTGTGGTCTAGTGGTAAACGCATATGTGAAAAATAATAAAATTCTCTTTTTAATATGTTTTTGTAATCTGTAAAATTTTTTTATCTTTTTAATATTTTTTTTAGTTTTATGTTTTTCTCTTCAAATTGTTTTTTGTAATGCTTTGCTACATTAGTTTTAACTAAATCTGGTTCTATTATTAAGTTTGTTACTTTTTCTTTTTGTTTGATAAATCTGTCTGTCAAGCATTATCTTTTTGTAAAGCTTATTTAAAAGACTAGCTATCATTTTTCCTTAATTTGTTTTGATTATTTTACATCTTTTATTTATATTTTCTTCTATTTACTTTCTTTGATTTTGTTTTCATACTTTCTTTTTTCTTTCTTGTAATAATTTTTGTCAGCCTTTTATGTCTTCTATCTAAGCACTTAACTATTGTTTATATAGTTTTGGCAGCTTTGCACCTTTTTTTACTTTTAGTATTTGTAATTTCTTATTTGTTTTAATTCTTTTTTTTTCTGTTACTTCTTGGTCTTTTCTTATCTTTGCATATTTAATTAATCTTTGCAACTTTATAATATTCTTTTTTTGATGTTGTTTTCTTTAATTGCTTCTTCTATTTGTTATCATGTTATATATCTTTTTTTTGAGTAAACACTTACTTGCTGCTATAATACTTATTTCTTTTATTATATTTCTTATGCTATTTATTTTGGTTGTTTTCTTTTTTTTGTTTTGTTCTTCTTTTTATATTCTTTTTAATACTTTTTTAAATTCTAATCATTTCTGCAACTCTTGCATATACTTTTTCAGTCTTCTTCTTTTGCTTGATTATATAGATATACTGTTCTTGATTGTTTTTTTCTTTTAACTTTAGCTTTGCTATTTTTTGCTGTTATGTGTTTAATCCATATCTCTAATTTGATTATCTTGTAATCACTTTTAGTAATTTCTTTTGCTTTTTCAATTTTTGCCTTCTGCATATCTAAGACTAATCCTTCTAACACCTATATGTAATCAATTCTTGTTGCAGCTTCTTCATTTAATCATGTATACTCTTGGTTTGTCAAATGCATGTTTCTATAAATATCACTAAAGTTCTGTTTCTTTATCTAATTAAAAATAAGTAATCTTTTGAAATTTGCTGCTTGTGAATGTTGTCTGTTCAATATATTATTCGCTATATAATTGAAATTACCTAAAATAACTATTTGTATATGCCTTTTTCTTTTAGCAACTATTTCTACTATTTTTTGTTGAATGTTTTTTTTTATTATTTTGTCACTTAGTAGTATATAAACTTTTAAAACTACTAATTTTAATTGCTTAAAGTATAGTATAAGGTTTATTATATATTTATTTATTTTTTTAATTACATCTATATGTGTTTTTCATTGTTTGTTAACCAAAATGTTTATGCAGATCCCTTTTCTTATTTTTTGCTACACTTGACCAAAAACCTATATAACTCTTCTTCACAGTATATGTTAGAAATCTTTCTTCTCTTTCTGTAAGTTTCATTTCTGTAATTCTTAGTATTGTGATTTTTTCTTCTTCTGCTTATTCTATAAGGTTTTCTAATTTTCATTTTTTGGTTTTAAGTTAATTAAAGTTGTAATATACTATTTTTATTTTCTTTTTCTTTTGCTTTTATTTCTTTTTTAGCTGCTTGTTTCTTGTTTTTATAACTTCTGCTTATTTTTTTCTTTTTTTATTTATTTCTTTTTTATAACTAGAAGATGTTTCTGTATTGTCTTCTTTAAATATTCTTCTTTCTCTATACAGAAACTCTCTGATCTTTTGGTTTATACTCATAAATTCAACTAGAGTATCCTTAGGAGCAATAGACTAGACTCTTCTATACTGTACTTCTTGTTTTTTCTAATCTTTTAAGTTTTTCCAAAATTTACTCAAGATGTCATTTGTATATAAAGATTCTTTTTGTGTTTGGGTTTTGGTTTTAGTTATTTCTCTTCTATATAGTTTTCTCTCTTCTTTAGATAAGTTTATATGTTTTGCTTTATTTTTTGCAATTTGATCTTGTATGCTACTTTTGCTTGCTACTGTTCAATCTTCTATTCTTCTACTTTTTTCTTTTCTACTTTTGTTTATATTTAACTTAAATTCTTGTTTTTCTCTTCTGCTACTGTTCTCTTCTGTGTTAGAGATTTGGCTAGATCTTTTTTAGCTTCTTTCTCTTTCTTCTTTAAAACCTTTATTTATCTTATTTCTCTTTTTTCTTTTTTTATCTAATATAGTCAGAAATTGTTATATATGAATGGTTTTGATTGGGCTAACTTCATATCTTCTTTTATTGCAAACATAACTGTTACTGTTTTTCTTTGGTTTCCATTTTTATTTGAAAGTATGTAAACAGATTTGACTCTTTTGTTTTTAAAACTTTGTAGTAGTAGAATTTCTGAAACACTTTTTAGTAATTCTGTCAATTTTGCTATATATTTTCTTTATTATTTCCTAGCTTTATGATTTTTTATTTTTTTGGTTACTTATATTAGTTTGTTATTATTTACTAATATAGTCTATAGAATGTTTTTATATGTTTTTTGTTTTAACTACAGCTAAGGCCTTATATTTTGATCTTTTAATTTTTACTATATAGGCTTTTCTAAATTTTTTACAGATGTATTCTAGTTCTTTTTTGTTTATATTTGTTGATAAGTCTTAAATTATTAAATAACTTGTATTTTCTAATTTTTTATTTGTTTCATATTGGTTTTTATTT